AGACGACCGCGGCGGCAGCAGCCACCTTCAGCGAGCAAGTCGGAGGGGTGGCCGGCTCTGCAACGTCCTCGGGACGCAGCAAAGTACTGCTGGTGATCGATGAGCCGGGGACAGACTGGTAAGGACCTGAGAAGGGAGAAGGAAATCCACCCGTCCTTCGCTATGCTCACCCTCCTTCCTTCCTTCCTTCCTTCCTTCCTTCCTTCCTTCCTTCCTTCCTTCCTTCCGCAATAAGTTGCATCAGAAGTGTTTTTCCCCCCCATTCAGCTTCAAATGAGCTGTAGGCTATAGATGGGGGAAGGGGCAGGTTGGGTTTCCAAACTATTTCATGTTGAACTTCTTCGCATAAAGGAATGAGATGAGGGGTGAAGGGATGAAATGAGGAAATTAGCCTTCTTTGTTTCACACCTGACAGTAATAGGGTCTCTTAGGCTCTTTTGAGATGGGCCTGTTTCCTCACTAGTGACATATTTGCTGCTAGGATCACCCATGTTGAAGCAATATGCAGCTTGTCCCCATTACTGATGTCTCAGCAGAATGATGGCTCAGCAGTGCTGGAAGAGGCAATCAATTGTTAGTGAGAAAGACTGGAGAGGATAAGACAGTACAGTCTTATATCCTAGCTCACAGTCCCTTGACATCCTTCAGTAGGGCACCATCCATTGATGTTCTTGCCTTGTTTTTCACTTCTACTATAGACCACCTACCTTTGTGGACTTTAGTTCTTTATTTGCTACTTAATTTACACAGCCACCTGTAATTCCCCCCATAGAGGTATTCTTCTGCTGAAGCTATTTATTTGCTCCATTTATTTGCAGAACTGGCTTTCTGTCTGTTCCATGTCTGAGCAAAGATTACATATCTGTGACCTCTTAGCATGATGGAGAGAAGTATGAAGAACAGGATGAGAGGGTGTTAGCCCCCTTAATGAGGCTGAGTTCTACTGGGGATACACCTGGGGGTTGTACCAGGGTCTAGTTTGATTCAAGGGCCGCTGTAGATCAGTTAGTCCCAACAAGGAAATGCACAGTGAAGAGATAGGAGACAGCATTTCCTGTGAAATATTTTGCAGTGCAGAACTGCAAGATGTGGAAAGGAAGTACTGATTCCAAGGATGTAAAATAGCAGTTTGGGGATTCAGAGGGCTTCCAAAAATACCAGCTTTTATATCATAGATCAACCCAGTTTGGGTCTGAACTGTCAAAATATCAGCTGAGTTGGTAATGCCAATTTGGCAGTCTTCCCACCCTGCACATTGGATTGTCTGGCCCTCTTTCCTTTCAGTTCACCTTTAAGAGTTAGGGTGGCTTTAATAATTAATTAGAAGATTCAGGGATTTGATCTGGGCAATCTCCTCACCACCACTTCATGAAAGATTAAGGAACAGCATCTGACATTTTTCTGCGGCTTATTGGTGGATCCAATTGACTTGGTTTTTTCAAAGGTGTAAGGAGGATGGTGATTTCCCTAACAAGGATCACAACCTGAGATCAGGATTGTTCAAAAGACTACACAGTGTGTTCTAATTTTAGTTCAAAAATATCCAGAGACTCTCAGATCTCCTGAATAACAACAAGCACATTCATCCCTGTCCAATTTACATCTTACAGTCATCCTAGTCTCTCCCTCTTACCCTATCATGCCTTAAATTGGTTTTTCATCATCAAGTTTCAGATGGTTCTTCCTGAGCCCACTTTTCTTCTTTCTTTCCCTTCCTTTTTTCAGCCTTCCAAGGTCTTTAGCTGTGGATCTTTCCCTCCCATATCTGTGGGCCCATTCTGGTTTGCACATTCACTGATTCATGGACCTTCAATTCCCAGAAATCAACCCAGAGAAGTTCCATGTATTTGTGGCTTCTTAACAGTAGAATTATGGTCTACTAGTTAGGAAATACAGGCCTTGAGGTATCAGTCTCTTTATGTTTCGAAATCTCTCACAATGTATAAATCCAGTCTGAATATAATTTCAGAACGGATGGGCTCTATGGTATGTAATTTAATCAGCTAGATAAATTAAATGTCTCCTTAGTGAGTCATCCCATAAAATCCTTCTTGTTTTCTATTATACTTCCTTGATTTCTCTATTATAGCAGTTTTGGTGCAGTCTTCTTAGTACAAGAAATGGAGAAGCATTACTTCTCCAAAAGGGATATCAATGTAAGAATGGATTGATAATTAAATACAACAAAGAGTCTTGTGGCCCCTTAAAGAGTCACATTTATAAAGACAAAAATCAAGCAATACCAATTTATATAATCCTTTGGGCTTTTTTTCATATACTGAGAATCAATACGAATAGATTAAGTCCTAAAAGATAAACTCAATCCCTATCAGATAATTCCCAAGACCCAGCAGGACACCCAAATCTCATGGCTTCCTCATGAGGTGTGGAAGCCAGTTTATTGTGACTTAACTATTAGTTAAATATGGATTGTGGGTGAATCAGCATTGAGAAAGAATGGGTCAACATCCTTTCCATTATACAACTCTGTAGTAAGCAATTTATTATGGATGGAGCTGGTCCATATTTCATGTATGTGGAGGCTGACTAGGTTGTCAAGCAAACTTCAGCAGTCCTTCTCCTTCAAGTCCTTGAAGAAAAAGAGGATTATTGCCCAAAGCAACAAAATGCATAATCAGTTATGCTCTTGAAAGAAATGTTAAAAAGGAGAGGCTGTTTGGTAGGAATATTATGGGCAGATCTCAAAGTGAAATTGCTGTGGAGTATAATAGGGGGCTGGAATAAAAATTGGCCATTAGGAACCCATCATTTCCCTCTCTAACCAGAAGATTTAGTTTATATAGCGTTAAGTATGATCGAGAAACAGAATCATGGACAGGCTTTCATACATTTATAAGAGTTGGGTTATCAAGGATGGAGAGAAATTTGAGGCCAAAACAATGGTGTTCTTGCTTACTTGTGGTTTTCCAAATGGAAGACAACCTTGAATTTAAGATGACTTCTTCAAAAGAAGCATATATTGGAAAAACATGTCTAGCTCCATTACTATATTCTTAGAAAACCTAAGCTGACCATAGTATTTTAAAGGTAAAATATTTGTCCCTCTATTTTAAAGATAAATTATTGTGGGGGAAAATCTAGACTTCCTTTCAGATAAATTTAGTACTTGCTATCCACCTTATAGGGAAATAAAACGCTAAACACGAGGACAATATGACAGTCAAGGCAATTTTTGCTCAATGTCTTTAACCTGGGCAAATGGCCAACATAAAAGCTGTTTGGGTGGTGTTGGTAGGGAGCAGTCTCCTTTCATTAGCCTCCAAATGCAATCTTAGGGATTTCAAGGGAAGGACCATCTTCCAGGTTTGGTGAGCTTTCAGGAGAAGCTAGGTTGGCAAAGCCCCTCAGAGGAAGCAACAGAAGGAGCAGAAATTCAGCCAGCTCCCCGACGTAGAAATGCCCTCATATGTGGGAAGGGATCATCTGCTGAAATCCTGCCTCCCATGAAGGTTTCCAGAAAGAACTTTGTGCTGGTACCAAATTGTTTTCCAGATGGATGTTTGCATAGTCATTGCTGGAGCCTGGTCTCTTAATAGCAAGAGGGCACTACCCTGTGGGTTATGGAAAAACAGAAGACCAGCTGTCTGTTGGCCAATCCATAAGCATCACACTGCTGGCTATTCCCATTATTATTTTTTAGCCAATGGGATCTGCAATAAAATGTTATAGTGTGTACTCTCCACCCCATCTGGAATGCTCCTATCCAAAGCTTCCACCTAGCTGCCATGTCACCAGCTTCAGTTTTCATGATCTTACTACATTGCATCAAAAGCAATGAAGAATCTTGTGGCCCCTTAATTAAAGAGTACACCCCAGGAGGAGAGAGGGATCCTGTAAGCCTCCAGAAGTTTCTAATTACAACTCCTAACATCTTTCTGGCTGGCTGGGGCATCTGGGAGTTGTAGTTCAGTTACATCCAGAGGGCCACAAGTCCCTGCATTTCTATTATAGCAATGACTCTCAGAGACTTAAACCAGCTATTAGGGTGTTGGACAGCAATTTATCTCTATTTTCTAGTCTATTAGTCTTGAATGTCACTGAGCATGCACAGTTCTCTGTGGGCTGTTTTGGGGGATTGTCTTCTTTTTATTTGTTAAATTCCTTTATTTGCTACGTTCTTTCATCCGAGGAACTTATGAGGAGTTCCTCCTGACCCGGCACGATCACCCACTGAGCTTCATGGGCGAAGGCTGATTGGAACCCAAGTCTCTTTAATTCTGGTGTGGTTGGATGCAATACATCTGCAGGGCACCCACATTACTTTTGGTGCCCGCTGAAAGGGCATTGGGCCCCGAGAACACCAACAAGGCACGAACTATCTATGTATTAGATGAGATCTAGAGAAATAAAAGCCTTTGTAGGAAACTGGGAACCTTGGAAGAAGCGATGTGACTACGACCACATCACTGTTCTCAGTTCACTTATTTCAGCGTATCCCATTTTTCCTCCATGGAACTCAAGCTTCTCCCTCTGTTTGATCCTCACAGCAACCCTGTGACGTAAATTAGCCTGAATGACTGGTCACCAAATAGATGTCATTGCTTAATGGGAATTAAAATCTGCAGTGCCCCAGACCAACACTAGTCAATGCATCATACTGTATTGATTTCACTTGCCCTGTTTGAGTGTTGGGCTTCTGTGCGTCTTCCTTTGCTGATGTGATAGTCAGGAGACAAAGAAAGAACAGAGCTCAGCTTTCCCTGAAGAAACAAATTGATCTTGAGCTTTACCACTGCAGAATACAGAGGTCTGACAGGATTGAACATTTCTATGCTAAATATCCGAGAAGATAAACACAGCTGGCCTTCTTCTAGGCATCCTGCTTTTCTATAAGGAAGGATTCTTTTTTTTTTTTAAATGTTGCA